CCAAGAAGGGCAAGAGGCCCACATGTAAAGGCAGGCAGAAAGGGGAGACCAGACCCAAACTCCACTGCCACCACTGAGCCAGCCTGGCAATGCCCCCACATCTCAGCTGCCCCTGGGGCTCCATGAAAAATTCTCCACCAGGAAGTTCTCCCATTGACTCCAGAGCAGCTTCGCTGATTGGCCAAGCCTGGTCACATGCCTCACTCTAGCTGCAAGGGAGTCTGGGAAAGTACGCATGGGCTTATTTGAGCTCCTCCAATGAGAAGCTCCAAGTTTCTGAAATGCAGACAGTGGGAAGGGACTGAAGCTCTGTATCTTCCCCAACCCCAGTGCTCCCCAACTTGGGAGAGACATGGTTGACACTCTACTCAACTAGACCTTCACCCATCCTATATCCAGCCCTGGAGGATGAAAAGTCCTGTGCCTTCCTTACGCCCACTGTGCACACCTTTCCTCTGACAGCTATTGGAACAGATCCTGGAACCCCAGTCTGTGGGGAACACAGGCTTTATGGGGGAGGACAGCCAGTGGGGCGCACACTGAGCATGTACAGGCGCCCAGCCTGGGAAGGCCTCCTGGGAGTGGTGATGCTGGGTGTCAGAGGAACAAAGGTGTTGATAATGAGTGCCAGGTTGATACCGTGGCTTAAACCAAAACCCTGGAGGAACTGGAGGGATCCTGACTGGACTGGCATCACGGGGAGGCAGGATCACCCAGGAAGGAGGCCATATTCCTGACGCCTGGTTTTCTCTGGGGCCATCTGCCAGGGCAGCGGAGGGACAGACTTAGCTGAGCGCTTCACAATTGGCCCTGGGGACCAGCTGGGCTGGAGAGGGACTCACTTGGGCAGGAACCACATGATCAAGGGGGGGGGCAGGGGGAGCTATCAAGAGGTGTTACCATCAGCAATCCAGCTGCTGTGGGGGCCCATCCAGGCAAGAGCGAGGAAGGCAAGTCCCAGGCCCTGTCGGATGACCTCAGTTTCCTTATTTGCAAGAGGAGAGTGTTGTAAGCCTTTGAGGCCGCCCACTTTCTACCCCATCCATGGTGTCCGGGAAGCTGAGGAAGCCAGCATGGAGTGGGGAGCTTGGGCTGGCTGGCACAGGTGGCTACTTAGGTGTTGGGGTTTCAACACATAGCTTCTGCTTGCTGGGAGAGGAAGGGGCTGGGCTATTACAGCCCCCGCCCCCCCCCCCACCAGGTGTTTGGGGACTGTCAGTACCGGGAAGTTATTCCCTTCCAGGAAGCCAACCCCAGGAGAGGCCCGGTCCCCCCCATTTGCATAGCTCCAGTAACAGGAAGTGGGGCCACATTATCTCATGAGCCAGGCTGGGCTAGCCCGACTGCTCATTCCCATCAGCCCCTGGACAGAAGCCCCAGCAAGGCTGGACAAGCAGTCCTGGGGCCATCCCCTAGCCCACCTTGGGGGAGTCACACCTGGGGACCCCAGCAGTCTACAGTGGGGGGGGAGAAAGAGGGGGTGGGGCCCCAGCCAGCTGTGCACTCCCTGGGGGTCAAAGTGCATCGTGAAGCTGCCAGCTACAACCTGACCCCCCTCGCTTCCCCTCCCTGTTTGCCCCCATCCTTTCCAGGATGCAGGGGTTCCCGCAGGATGCCTGAACCTGACCCCCCCCCGCCCCCTGCCTTGTGGGCAGGGTCCCGAGGACTGGGGAGCCATCGGGGGGCCTCAGCACCACCGGGTGTCTGGAAGTCCAGGACCTCGTGGGTGACAGTGCCTACCCCTGCCCTGGGGACCCTTGTGCCTCCCAGCCGGGGTGGGGGAGGGAGAATGCCAGGGGCTGACGCCCCAGGGGGCTCGCAGTGCCCAGCCCCCTGCACACACACCTGCTCTTGATGGCTGGATGATCCCCGGGGTGAGCAGTGTCACTGAGTTGGGACCCAGTGGTGGGAGGAAGGTTCTAGTAAGAGGACAGGGCTCCCCCAGGCACCCTGAGCTCCTCAGAAGGCAGGCCATGTGCCTGGTCAGGAAATCTGGGCAGGCTTCCTGGAGGAGGAAACAAGGCAACCTTCACCTTGTAGAGCCTCTAACTTGCTGGCTGGCACTGCCCATGGTGGTCCGTCCGATTCCATCTGTGGGGACGCCCCCCTTTCCTAGGACCTGTGTCACCATCACGGAGTGGGCAGCTAGGGGACATCATGCCTGTGAGCTGGCCCCTGTCCTTCCTCCTCCATTACCAAAGCTGCGTGGTGCAACCACCTTCCCTCATTTTCCTATGCAAAACTCTTTCCTCTCTTGGAGTCACACGTGCTAGGCAAGCACTGTGGTTTCAGTTAATCCTCAGCCCTATGCAAATGTGTGTGTGTGTGTGTGTGTGTGTGGTGACAGTACTGGGTCTCGAACTCAGGACCCTGCACCTGCCTACCTGAGCTCGGCCATGAGCCACACCTGCGGTTCTTCTTGCTTTATTTCTCAACTAGGTCATGGGCTTTTACCTGAAGCCAGTCTGCACCACAATCTTCTTATTTCCCACCCTCCCCCCGACCCTATGCCCCATGTAGCTGGCACTATAGATGTGTGCCACCATATTTAGCTTGTTGATCGAAATGGGGTCTCACGAACCGATGGTCCTAGCTGCCTCTGAACCACAACCCTCCCCATCTCCACCTCCTGAGCAGCTGGGATTACAGACGGGAGCCACCGCTCTAGGCTCTCCTTTTTCTGCATAACATATAGGCTGCTCTATTTGAGCAAAGCCACTCCCTGGGAGAGAGGACAGACGGATGGAACCCCTGCTTCCTCTGAGCGGCCTCTGTGAGGGGCCAAGAAAGCCCCTGCCTTGCCTCCGATGGCCCAGAATCCCCAGCACCGAATTCCCCGGCATCCCTGGCACCGCCGCGCACAGCCCCTCAGCCCCTGTGATTGCTCTTCCTCGGGGCGGCTGCATGCCTCTCAGGGGTCCAACCGGCCCCCCCACTCTGCGCCAGCCCTCCCTTGCCAGGAAACCCCAAGAGGCTCCTCAGCAGGTGGCATAGTGGCAGCTGTCCTGAGACTCTCCTTTGCTGCAAAAATGGGGGTAGAGAGACCATTAGCTGGGGGGGGTGTCCAGGGAAGGAGCCCAGACATTCACTGTTGTAGGCTGGGATCAGGTGGCACGTGGCAGGTTACGTGTGTGCTCACGTGTGTGTGTGTGTGTGGGGGGGTGTGGGGTTACCCTGCCCCCACCACAGGGGTCGGCCCCTGGCTCCGCCCACAGCTCCCGCAGCCCCTCCTCCCCCCCCCCAGGCCAGTTCCTGCTGGTTGCCTTAAAAATCCTGACTCACTTCAGGCCCAGTCAGCGCCAATAGGGCCAGGATGGTGACTCGGGAGGACCCACCAGGATGCTGGGCACCACCCCAAAACTAAGTGGGGCATCACGCGTGCACCCTGAGCCATGGGCCAGCCGCCACCTGACCTTTGGCCTCCTCCTAGTGGCCCTGGGCCATTCATTCACTGACTCACATCTCTGCTGGCTCATTCATCGATCGTGGTGGCGCGGCCACGGCCGCCCAGACCTTCATTCATTAGTAACGAGCGCGGCGCCCTCCGCCCCGCCATCCTTAGGTCCCTTCAGCCTCCTGGTGCCCAAAGGAGGAGCAGAGGGGGAAACTGAGGCTTGGGAACCGTTGTCATGAGCGGTGAATCTTGGCCTCCCCTGCTGATCAGGTGGACTGTCCCCCAGCCCCCACAGCAGCCATGTCCCCAGGTGTGACCCTTGAGGACAGGGACCTCAGCTGGCCACCCGCGTCCCTCTGCCCAGCCTCGTTCCCTGTGTGGGGGGGCAGACTTCAGTACAACCTCTGCAGGGTGGCGCCGTGCTGTGGCTAAAGCCGGAGGGGAAGGGGGGGAGGGCTTTCAGGCCAGGAGGGGGGCAGGTGGAGCTCCAGACAAGCCCAAAGGCCTGAGAACCAGGTGATGGAGCAGCGAGTGAGGCTGAGCTGGGGTCCGCCCAGCTCTGAACAAGTCCCCGGTGATTGAGAACCTGGAAGCACCCGGAAGATGCAGGCAGGGAGGGCGGGAGAGAAGGGGGTTTCTAGCACCCAGCTGGCTGGGAGTCTGTCTGCTCCCCCCCTTCTGGGTGGGACCCTCACCTGGGGCTGTCAGGACCCCCTGGGATGCACGTCTAGGCCCAGCCTCTGGGTTCTGGAGTCCTATCCTTGCTAGGCCAGGAGATTGTGACAGTGGCTGACGCAGCCTGAGCTGGACCATGAGAACAGACGCTTACAGAGGAAAAGCCACGTGTGCTGGCCACCAAAGCAACCACGGGCAGACCGGGTTGTTGTTGGTCAGCTTTCCACCACTGTAACAGCCAACCAGAGGCAATCGACTTATGGAAAGGTTTGTCTTGTCTCGTGCTTCTGGAGGGTTTTAGTCAGGACCCACTGGCCCTGTTGCTTTGGGCCTGAAGTGGTGTGTTACAGTGGGAGGGGTGGGGCTACCACTGTCCCCTCCAAGGGCAACACCACCAATGACTTACAGACCTCCCCTAGGCTCCACCTCCTAAAGCAGCCACCCCTGAGTAGCCCCAGCGGAACTCACAGACGCCACCTGAGCCCCCCGGACCCTCTGCCCCGAGCTTCCAAGGACTCAGACTGGCGCTGGCTGGCGCTTTACAAAGGAAGACCCAGCCCAGAGGGGCCCTGGCCTAGGGTATGCCCTGGCAGGGGCATAGCAGGGTGTCACTAGGCTTTTCAGGAAGAGCTGGAGAGCTGAGCACCTACGATGTGCCCGGGGCCCCCAGGTACATGCATCATGGGGTTATTCCCTGCCTGGTCTGAGGTGTGGCTCTGGGTTTTCATGGTGGTCTGGATGGGAGGGGGGGCGCTGTGTGGTCGAGGCAGGAGGGCTCCGGCCAGCAGGGGTGAAACAAGGGCAAACGCAGCCCCGGACATTCCCTTCCGTATCCCACCACAGCACCAAGGGCAGCAGGCCACACTGCTGGTAACTTTGTCCTTTTATTGCCAGATGTGAATTTACAAGGAAGTTCCACCTCGTGTTCGGAAAGAGCCTGAGTCACATGGGCCTCCGGAGGGAGGCTCAGGGGCCGAAGCCCCGCTCCTCTCTGAGATCAGGGTTTATTGACACGTTTGCAGAATCAAGTTCGGAAGGAGGAACCTTACAGTGTAGGCCTGCCGTCAACTGCATTGTGACTGTGTTCAATGGTTCGTATTTATTGCATCTAGGAAAAGACCAGAACCGGATCCTGGGCACCTTACTCAAAACAGTGCGTCTCAGACCACCGGGAAACCCAACGCCTCATGCCCGTGCCCGGGATGGGGTGGGCAGGGGGGCTGCGTGGCAGTGGGGGTGCTGCTCCGGGTCCTCCCCTAGCTCTCAGGCTCCACTGCTGTCTCTGTCCATCTGGGGGGCACTCTGCGCCGGGGTCCCCCCAGAGGCAGTGCCCTGCCCATGCCTGCACAGCCCATGACCAGGCCTAAAGCCGCGGTGTGGGGTTCCTGTGACCAGCCCCACAAAGCCAGCCCCGTGAGCCCGTCGGCAGCCCTGGAAGCGCAGCCATGGCGCTCTCTGCCAAACGCCCGGGCGGGGCTGCCCAGGACCTCCAGATTGGAAGCTGTGGTGGCCTGGGGTATGTGTGTGTGTGTTCACCCACGCCCCTGGCTTCACCTCCCTCCATTGGGACCGGATCCAGTGCATTCTGTGGATGGGCCTGCCTGGTGGGACCCAGCTGTTAGGATTATGGGGTGCTCCCGAAGACACAGCCATGCCCATTGCCCCAAGATGGCTAAGACCTGGGTAAGGAGGTCCTTCTCCAGTCCCCAAGGCTGGCGGCCTCCTGAGTGCCGAGATGAGGGCACACATCCCTCCTCGCCAGTGAAGCCCCTTGGAGCCCAGGGGCCCTGGAGATGCCTGGCGGGGGCCACGCTGCCAGTCCTGGGGGAAAGACCTCACAAACCTAGCCGGGGGTGGGCCTGGCACCACCCACGACTGCTGCTTCCATGCCAGTGGCCACCAGGCCGGCTGCAGATGCTGGACTGGGAACAGGTAGGGGCTTCGCAGGCAGGGTGCCACCTGCGTGCGCAGCGAGGCAGCGTGGGGGCGTTGGCACGTCTGTTCTCCTTTCGGCTGTTGCAGAGACAGGCATTTCAAAACCACAAGTGCCCCGGGCTAGCCTGCTCCTGCGGGGTCAGCCTGCTCCCACGTCACCCCTTTCCTTTAGAAGATCAAGCCACACACGTGGTTGTGGGGGTGCCGGAGCCGTGGCCCGGGCTCCCCTCTGGATGGCCATCTTTCTGTCTCCCACTCCTGGCTGTCTCTCCTCCCCAGGGGCGGTGCTCGCGGCCGGGGCTCATCACTGCTCATGGTCGAGGCGCATCTGGATTCTGCCTTCCTTATCAGCAGGGTCTCAGTCCTCGTGGGATGTGAAGGTGGGGCCTCAGCCAGTGCGGGGAAGCTGGTTGGATGGTGATCTTCTCACAGGCTGCGGCAGCCACACCTGCAGCTAAGCGAGGGAGGAAGGCGTTGGAGCTGAACTGGACACGGGAATTCTGGCTGCATGGGCCCAGCTGGATGTGTGTGTGTGTGTGTGTGTGGGTATGGGAGGGTTTTTTTTTTTTTCGTTTGCCACAAGCTTGTCCTGTGGCGGTGGCAGTCGAGATGGAGGGACAGTTGTAGATGGTTTGGGGAGGCCGGTCTTGCTGCGGGGGTCCTCACCGGGCATCCACACGCAGTGGGCAGCAATCATGGCCGCGGGTAGCTCCCCCGATTTTAGCTGCAGTCACAGGTATGGGCTTGGGCGGTCTTCACAGCCCAGAGGGAGACGGCACTGGGGATGTGTGTGTGTGGGGGAAGCTGTTGTTTTGAGCAGGAGCCGCTAAGACCTCCCTTCTCCTGGGGAGATGGCCCTCAGGGAATTCACCCAACTGCAGAGAAGCTTCCAGAACCCTCGCTCCATGCCACCGGAAAGCACGTGGCTCTATCTTGCTTCTGTTTGACAATAAGCTAAGCTTTACCATCTCACAGGCTCCTGAGAGTTAGTGCAGAGAAATAAGAAGCCTTGATGAAAAGGGAGAGACCCAAAACTCTCAGTGTCAGACCCTGAAGGCGGGAAGGAGAGCGGCCTGGCGGGGCCTGCGCCGTCCTGAGGCTGAGGGTGTCCTTTCTTTCTATTTTGTTTTTGTGTTTGGACTTCTTTGCTTCAAACAGATGCTTCTTAAATAAATTGTTTTCACCTACTGCTGGAAGCAGAAATGAACAGCCCAAGGAGATGTCTGAGTTCGCTTTCTCCTCATTTCGAATGTAAGGTGATGCTGTCTGGGTCTTCCGTGCCCGCTGGGGGGGGGGGAGCGGGGCGGAGAGCCCTGGTGGGTCCTGCCACCTGGGGTGTCGGGCTCAGGGACAAGGCAGCCCCCCCACTGTCAGCAGCACGCACTGGGCCGTCCGCATGGGCCCAGCCTGCTTCAATGAGGTACAGAGCAAAAGAGGGTTCCAGGGAGACGTGGGCGGTCCTCATGTGTCTTGCCATCTACTGGGGTTCCTGCCAGCTGGCCACACACAAGGCAGGGGGCGGGCCGCTCAGTGCATGGCGGGGGGACCTTCCACCTCTGCCCCCGTGGCCTCCTGGTCCCCCGTGGCCGGGCATGCCGGGGCTGGCGTGGAGGGCTGGGCGACGCCAGTCAGAGCACGGAGGCTGTGGGGGTCCACCGGAGGGACCAGCGTCAGGGACTCCACGCTCAGGGTGTCGGCAGTGTCCTCGTAGAGCAGGGAGATGGTGGGGTGCGGGGCGGGAAGCAGGCTGGGGGACAGGTGTGCGGTCTCCACCTCAGCACCCCGAGACAAGGTCTTGCTGGGCCTGGGGTCTATTTCCGTGTCGTTGCCCATCACCAACTTGTCGGACAGGGGAGTCTGAGTCTGCTCCGGAGTCATGGGGGCGTCTAGTGGGGAGAGAAAGTGGGGACCCATTTAGTGCTGGTGATGCTGCACTCGGGTCAGCACCCCCCCACTCCCACCCCAACTCGAGGCCTGGGGGAAATCTGAGTGGGGGCGGCAGAGCTGGGGGCCATATATTCCTTGTGGGGGACACAGACACTGCCAACCCTAGTTTTACTTAGGCCTGGGGAAAGCATGTCAGGGCCCAGAGAAACATCCGGGGCTTGCGCAGAATGAACACGGGGATTAAGAGAGCTTCCTGGGGGTGGAGACCCGGCCTGGGCGGGCTTTCTGGACAGACATGTTGGGACCAGCCTCCTGGAGATCTGGGCCTATGAAGTGAAGAGTTTGGGGATGCCTGGGCCCTCAGGTTGCATCTGCAGCCTCCCCAAAGAGGGCGCCCCTTGTGAGATCAAAACACAGCAAAATATAAAGAATGTGGTGGAACTTTCCAGCGTACGCTTCCTTAAACTGTGGCTTGTGCCCATGTAGGGGCTGGTGCCACCCCAGGCCAGGAACCAAGAAAACACTTGATGCCGGTATGGCCAGAGTGGCAGGCTTTGGGCTTTTTTGTTTCTTCGTGTTTTTCCAAATCCTTGCAGACAAAGGATGGCCTGTTTCTTTGCCATGAGGAGTTGGGGGTCGAGTGGGAGAGTTTCTCCAGGACTAGCGGCTGGGCATGGAGAGAGCGGGAGGAAGGCAGCGGCTTCCTGCCCGGGCAGCAGTTCCTCACTTGTCTGCAGCTTTGTAGGCTAGTGCTCGCTGTGCGCATGCGTGGTGTCCCGGCCCGGGAAGACGGGAGGCATTATTTTGGTTTAATATGATTCCAATTGAGTTAGGGTTTTTTTTTTTTTTGGTCTCTTTTAAGCCAAAAATAAAATAGGAAGGCAAACTAAACAGAGCAGAGGCAGAACAAAGAGCAAAGTAAAAAAACAAACAGCATTAAGCATGGGATGCAAGCGAGGAAGAGACCCCCCCCCCCGAAACGCACGGCACAGACTCTGCCATGGCACACACGGCATTCCTCCCGTGAGACTCCCAGTTCTGGAAGGTTCGGATTAGTGTCTTCCTTCAGTCTTTCCCCTCCTTCCCCCTTCCTGAATGGAACTTGAGGCCCCATGCATGCTAGGCCCGTGCCTGGCCTTTCTTTAAAAATCAAAACCAAACGAAGCTAAACAAAATCCATATGCGGATCAAGCGAGAGCGAGAAGGAAGGTAAGAGGAAAACACCGCGCGCTGCCTCTCTGCGGGGTCCTGAGCAGAGTGAGAGGACTGAAAATCACGGCTGGGGTCCCGTCGGGGCCCGGAAGTGCTCAGTGCATGGTGGGCACTGATTGTGGAGAAAGGTTGCCTATAAAGGGGGCTGGCTTCGGCTCAGGCGTGCTGCTCGGAGGTGTGGGGGTGAGGGCGAGCTCACCTGCTCAGCACCCTGTCTTTGAGCGTGTGCCCCCAGCAGGGAACCTGTGCACGTGGAGGTCATCTAACAGGCAGCGTGGAAAGGACTCGAGCGCTGGCCTTGAGTGGAAAAGCTAAGGAACAGAGCAAGGCCCTGAGTTCATGCCCCAGGACAGGCACAAGAACAAAGACAGAAACCAAACTTTGGTGGGAAAGTCCTCTCTGGGCTCAAGCCGGTAAAATCAGGTGGCCAGTCGGGACCTGGCAGAGCTGGCCAGCTACCAAACAATGCCACGCACACTACGCTGGGTTCCTTAGGGGATGGACCCACCCACAGTTTTTGCTACAAGGGCTGCGTTCTCCTTTCTCGAGAGGTCTGCCTTCCTGGCTCCTGGGCTGGGGAGCGGAGCCAAGGCTAGGATGGGCAAGATCTCCCTGCAGCTGCCGGGGCCCCCGGAGCCTCACGCTTGGCAGCCGGTCGGTAGCTATGGGGGCAGGGCCCCCTCGGATGCTGCCCAGTGACCTCCAGTTTCCAGTGAAAATGTGGATTTGTTGCGCGTGGGCTGGGAGAGGCTGGGGGAATGTGGCGGAGAGAAGGAAACTTCCCAGGGAGAGTCGTAAACAGAAAAGAGGGCGGAGGGCTCCACTGGCAAGCGCAAATGCCATTGGAGAGGCGCGCCGGCAACCCAGGAGAGGCGCAGGAGGGCCGAGCACCAAGCCGGTGACACTGAGCGTGCGCACTGAGCTGCACCAGGCGATGCCCTCCCACCCACCCCTGCGCTTGGAAGCCAGCTGACTCCTGGCTCCCAGCCGGGCTGTGGGACTGAACTTGCCACTTATCACAACTCCTCACCTCTCCACTCCGAGGCTGCCCAAGCCCCACCGCCCAAGGGCACTGTGGGGACAGGCAGGGGCCCGGGCTTTGGGGGTCAGGGTTGGCTCTGGGTGGTGTTTCACAGACAGTTTCCAGACTTTGCAGGAAGAGCTCCTGGGAGGCACGGGCTGGGGGACGGGGTCTCAGATGAGAGCCGGCTCTGTGGGAGGTGGGGGTGGGGTGGGGTGCTGACATCGGCCTGGTGTCCCCGGCTAAAGCGTGCTGGGACGGGAAGGGCCCGGGGGGCGCCTGGAGGAGACCTGCCTGAATTGATTGTGCACCAGTTGCCGTGGCAGCTGCCGTTCGAAGCACTAAACCCAGTGGCCGCCGTGACTGTCGGCCTCCGACAGGCTGAGCACGCGCCGGCGTTCTTTCCTGCCACTCCTGACTAGAGGGAAACACAGCGACAGATCATAGAAAGCCTTTAACAATGGACAGTGAAGGCGACATGGAGAGGGACACGGAGCAACGACGGACGCGAAGCATCGACGAGAGCGGCGGGGCCCTGACCTGGCTCCAGCGTGAGTGCCTGGCACGTGGGGTGCCCGTCTCCCCGCCCGCACACAGGGCACCTCTGGGCCACCCCGCACCCCCAGGACCAAGTAAGGACTTGAGATCCGAGCACCCAGTCCTCCGCTTGTGCAACTTCACCTGCCTGACGACAGAGCCAGGTGGAGTCCTGGAGGAAGGATCCGGGTCACCAGTGAGAGACGTCTGGTAAAGCCAAGGTGCCCCTCAGTGCTGGCTGAGCCCAAAGTGCAGAAGTGACCACTGGGCCTCCCCAGGACAGGCTGAGGAGATGGGGGTGGGGTGGACGGGAGCCAGAGCAGGGGAGTGGACCATGCAGGTTCCCGACACAGTGTGGGGGTGGCATTCTCACAAGGGGGCGTGGCTCGTGAGTTCTGGGGGAGGCTGTGGACGCTCCGGGTGCCCGGGAGGCGGCCGGGTGCCCCACACCATGGCTCCTGGGTCTGAGGCCAGGGCTCCCTCTCCTGGAGCACTGAGGCCAGGCCCAGTGGCTGAGGGTGGGTGCTCATCAGCTGCAGCAACACCTTACGGGCAGGCCACCCAGGAGGGGGAGCCACGATCCCGCAGGCGACTGAGGGTACACCAGGCGCAGCAGGGCACCCCGGATCCAAGAGTGTGCGTCAAATGCCACAGGACGACGTGGCTAAAGATGGCCAAGATGGCCGACCTTCTGTTGTATAAACAGATAATGCCGCAGAAAACAGTGGAGGAAAGACACTATCCCTCCCTGGGGGTTTCTGTCCTTAAAGTTCCACTGCATTAAGGAGACTGAGTTCAGGGACGTGGGCCGGTCTCAGGCTGGCTGGCTCCATCTTACCCACAAGGGAGGGTGTGTGGGGCTGAAGGTGTGCGTGCAATCAAGCGCCCGGTGCCAGGAGCGAGGGGTAGCAGCTGCAGTGTGCCTGCCAGGAGGGAGTATGGTCAGCGGGAGCTGCCAGGGCACGGTGAGCGTCACCCCAACTCTTCAAAATTGTTTCTTAAAAGCCTGGGGGCGTGCCTCAAGGGGTACGGTACAAGGCCAAGGCTCGGTCACTTAGCTTTTTTTTTGTTTTTCTCAAGCTCTTCCCCTTGAGCCCTAGCTCCACTTCTGGCTTTTGGGTGGCTAACTGGAGATAAAAAAATCTCATGGACTTGGGCTGGGAAGGTGGCTCAAGTGGTAGAGCGCTCGCCTTGAGCTGAAGAGCTGAGGGACAGTGCCCAGGCCCAGAGTTCAGGCCCCACGACCGGACCCCCCTCCAAAAAAAATATCTCATGGACTTTCCTGCCTAGGCTGGCTTTGAACTGCTATCCTCCTATCTCAGCCTCCAGAGCAGTTGGGATTATAGGCATGAGCCACTGATGCCCAGCAGTATCTGCCTGTGTGTGTATGTAATTTTAGGTTGATTTGCAATTGTTGGTTTGTGTTGGGTACAGAGTGACACTTTGGTCCATGTGTACAAAGTTTAACAATGAAATAAACGTGAGGACCTTTTCCAGCACCTCATGTGATCATCATTTGTTAGAAACAGTCAAAGTCTGCTCTTCTGAAATACACAGAAGTCCCAGGGAGCTCTAGCCGCCCAACTGTGGCACGAAACACTTGACCTAGATCTTCTCGCGTAACTGTGCTTGCTCCTAGTCAAACAGCTAGCCCTGAAAGTGTGAGTGGAAAAGTCCCTGTTTGCCAGTTCTGCTTTCAAAGGCCTGATGGCTCCCATCCACATCAGGGAGCTTTCTAAACTCTGGGAAGCTAAACACAGGGTTGGGGCTGTTCCTGATTGAACGTGTGCTCTCAAAAACCACTTGAAGCACCATGGCTCTTGGTGGGGCTGCAGCTGTTTGGAGTGAGTGGTGGGTGGTGAGGTAGATGGGTTCTGGGGAGAGGCCTTCTTTGGCCCATGCTGCTGCCCGACTGGCCCTGTAAAGTCTGGCCAGCATGCCATGCAGGTACCTGGCCCGATCAGGGCCTGAACACTGGACTATCATTCAGAGCCAGCGGCAGACCAGGCCACTGGCCATCTCAAGTCAGTTCTGAGTCCCTCGGGCTCCGTGTGGGAGGGGACTATGTGCTCAGATCACCACTGCAGGGACTGGACGCCAGGTTCTGGGTGGACCCGGTGGCTCAGGGCTCTCTCCTCGCAGAGATCAATGGCTGTATCCCAGGGTGGTACTCCTGGCCCAAGGAAATCATGAGCTTCTCTTCATCAGGAGGCGCAGTATCTCAGGGCTGCGGAGCAGGGGCTGGTGGCTAGGCTAGGCTTTAGGTTTTTACTGTTGGGGTGAGCCTCTGAAGCCTGCTGTGGGCCCAGTAATTGGGCAGATGCCTTGGAGATCCTGTTACTTATCACCTAGAACTGCCTGGCCACCTGACAATCAGGCAAATCGCCCATCTTGAGAGAAGACATGTTGTTGGCAACCGTGCGAGGAATGGTGGGGGAGGAGAGGCTGAGGAGGGCCTAGGAAAGTGGCCAAGAACTGCGTACCACAGATGCAGGCCCCGAGG